TTTTGATAAATTTCCTCATACGCATTCTCTCGTATATCGCACTTTTATTTTAACAAATAAGCTTATTTCTCTTCTTCTTTTGTTCGTCCTCAGACCACCCACCCCTTATCAACTTGTACATTATATTGTATGGATGGATTTGCATGCCATTCTCGACTCTCAACCTTCATGTAAGGCCTTAAAAAACAACTACGAGCAAATAATGTCTGATTTAAATAGAAAATCAAGCAAAGAAACAAAAACATTGTCTGTCTGTCTGTCTCCCCTTCAGATTTAATTCATCAGTTCTCGCTCTTTCATTCGCACACGTTGCATTTTTGATTGTTCGCCGATTCACTTGGATATGTTATTTTAACGAAATCTTTTAATTAAGCGATTAAAAAAAAAAAAAAAATATTATAACAAAGAAACAAAGTTTAAGTAAGTCGATCCTTTGGCAACCGTTACTATCATCTGCTGAGTATGAAACGTAGAAAAGATTGTAGTATTAGAAAACTCACGATATAAGTATGTTCAAAGTGGAGCGAAGCATTTGATATCCACAGTCTTGTACTTATTTTTGTTATTTTTGCGCAACACTAAAACTACCGCGTGGACCAATTTGAATGTTTTTTCAAACTTTTGAGCTTCAAAACAAGTAAAAACTTTATAGCGGGACGCGATTCCTCATAAAAATACCCAACATCACGCCGCACTTACTTGTTCGAAGACTTCTAACAATAAGGCCTTATATGGCAAGTGGTTGAAGAAGTAGTCGGATCCAAACCATTTTCAATACCTTTCGTTCTTGCTTCAAAATGTGGCAGTTTACCAAATTTCATTCAAATATTTCAAAAATTACAGCCTGTGAGTTAAACGCAAGAAAGCAACACAGCCGGACAGACAAGCTTAAATCGATTCAGAAAGCTTTTTTTTTTAATATGGTACCAAAGGCTCATTCGCGTAAGAAAGAGGAGAAAGAGTAGGAGGCTATAGCAGTCTAGTGGGTGTGTGTTCAGTCGATAAGTGTTATGCATTTACCGACTGTGCACTCACCATAGCTATAACGAAAATAAACTGTACCACACTCAGATTTGAAGCCGGTATTCACGGACTTGGTATTACCGATTCTTACCCGCTCCGCTACTCATGCGAATTCAGAAAGTAATTCTGAAACGATCGGTACCAAAATGGGGGTTCTCTGTCAAGTCCCTCCGGGTATTGCATACATTCGCATAAACTTGATACAACATTGTACCACATATGACAGATTATAAGGTTTGGAAAGTTCTAAAATTTTTTTGGTTTTGGTGGCATTTATAAGAAAAGATCTTTTAATATCTACGCTCGATTTTGGTCCATTTGATGTGGTTTTGGAGATGTTGATTATATACACGTATTGCTACCAAAATGGATCAACTTGACACTAATTTTCCTGGAATAGCCGCAAATATGAAAATAGAAGGAAGAAATCAGGCACGATTAGGAATCCGAGCTTAAAAATTGGATGTGACGTGTCCAGAATGTGGAAGAAACCGAAACAATCTCAAAAAACCGAAGACAATAATTTCATATTTTCGTTTACAATTTTCAATCACGCGAAAGTATTTCCGAAAAACTGCTATCCAGATATTTGATAAAACCACCTTCATGTTCGAATCAAAAAGGCCCACGATCTTTCGACTAGCACGGCTGCGTTTAACGATCAAATTTTGAGTTTTAGTTTATTTTCAATCAATATTTGTATCATATCGGATCGGTCGTCATTACGTCCTAATAAAAAATTTCTTGTTATTCAGTTCGTTACAGTTTTTAAGACATTTCTTTAATGGGTATTGACTAAGCATTTTCTTTAATCATAGGGAAATAATTGCTATTCGGATCGATAATAGTTAACTATGTTGTTGTTGGAAGAACATTATATTGTAACGTAAACGTTTGTGATTTTACGTTCTTATTCGACTTCTTTTGAAACAAAGGTCGTACCGAAGTTCGCTCGAGTTTTGATTTTTAGGATAGTCTAGGGTATATTTACCGTGCTTAGGAAGTCTATTGACAAATTATCTTTAAGAGTTTTAAACTCGCAACGTTTTAATTCGCTTTTATATTACGAATCGATTCGACATTGATTTTGAATCGATGTATGTTTTTCTGTCTGTCTGACCAGGTGTTTGATGTGTTCAATTCATTCATCCAAATTTGTTATGCTGTCGTGCATTGACCCAAAGACAAACACAATGGAAAATGACTTGGATTGAACCAATTGTTCGACCACTTTCAATATAAAGTCTAACTTAAGCGCAGTTGTGTAGGCAATTGCAAAATAAATCTTGGATTTAACCTACTGCTAGCATAATATACTCAAGTAACATAATCTACCTGCTAACACATCCAATATAACAAATCTGAATATAAGAAGATATTGGTATGCTTCATGCAGTAAGTTCTACTTATTAAAATTTTCTGTCCTTTCATTAACCTATCGGCATATTTATCTGTCGTCTGCCGCTACAATCTTCGCTATTGCACTTATTGGAACAGCATTCTAATAATGGCGGATCCAGTTTAACAACTAAGGGTCCTTCGCCTAGAGGCAAATCATTACGAGGTAAAAATATGTAATACGACATCAACAACAGTTGCTCATCTCATACTTGGCGTACATTTTTCGGGAGATATATCTAAACCAATTTAAAAATGGCATCAATTTGCCACTTCGCTTACCCAAAGAGAACAAAATTTTTTGAAATTTTTTTATCGTACTTTGGGCATATGTGTATCGAAAAATTTCAATGGCGGAAATTAAAAGAGTGAAGGTAGTTCCACTGGATCAAAATCCAATGAGTTAGAGAGAATCATTCAGCTTATAAGTTCTTTCATCCTATATCAGAAGCGATAAGAGCGTATTAGGATTGTGAAGACGTGTGCAATACCCAGAAAAACTCGAAATAGAGTTACCGTGTATTGCATAAGTTGATTCAGAGTCATTTTCTGTATCGATTTAAGCATGTCTGTCCGTGTGTCTGCCTGATGTCTGGTGCCATGTGGGTTCGTTTTCAATAAATCGGAACTTTTGAGATGGTTTGATCACATTTGACATTTTCTGGTCTAAGGACGAACATCTATTATAGGTCGCGAATATTAACGGCCTTTAAATTTTCGCAAGGAATGCAGAATAGTTCGAATAGGACCCATTCCCTCTTTTGCTCCCAATTCCAATAATCTCTAACAGATTAGCATAATATTTTGGCTATTCAAAGTTACGGGGCATATCATGAAGGAACAACTTGATTCATTCTTGAATCGCTCTAATTACCTCCTGGATGCATAATTCGACTCTCGGTCTGGACGATGTACCTCGAAACTTTTAATTTCCGCCACGGAGTCCGTTAGGAATAACATCAATGCCGGTATGAGCCTTGTCTCAGTCCCTCTGGATCTAACAAAAGTATTTCACAGAGTCCCACACACTTAACCTATTGTATGATAAATTCAACTATTTTCAAAGTGTTTGCAGTCTTATGTGGACCACAAACAGTTTGTTTCTGTGAATGACTCTAACTCTTCCCTTACTAAGACCATGTCTTGCCCCATACTGTTTGCTGTCTAAGATAATATACGTTGTATGAACCACAGTAAGACTAACACCTTATCCTTCAATGCTCCCCGGTCCTGGTCATTCTGCTTCAATATAAAATATCTGTGTATTCTATTCATCTTGTGGATTCAATCCAATGGCTTGGAGTTACTCTTGATCGCAAGCTCTATTTTGGCCCACAAATTGACAAGGCCCCTGCTAAAGTTTGTTTTACGCTCCAAAAAGTGTACAATCTGAACCTACAGGTTACATACACCATCGCGTATTCGCTCGTCATGACGCTTCTTCACTATTGTATTCAAGTCTTTTGTGAGTGCCGAAGGTACAACTTGGATAGACGTCAAAGTTTTGTTGACCGTCTAGCATGCTTTATTTTTAAGGTCTAAAATTTAGGCTGTGCTCTACCTCTACCACGTTTTTCTAAGCCATCATCTAAACAACGTTTTACTGTCCGTGGTGCTAGACATTGTAATGCGTTCCCACTGTGTCTGAAATCCTTCGATTATTCCTTGAATGCGTGTAGAAGGAAATTGATCGCACTGCTAAACTCATAAGTTATATTTTTTATTGATGGCAAGAATTGGTGTTTATGGAGTTTCTGGAGCAAGTTGATTCCATTTGCACCCATCAAGCTGACTTGCACACCCATTTTTGCACACGCAACGTATCCTTGTAACCAAGTCATAGAAAAATCAAATGAATTATGTTAAGTATATGTAGGGTACTAATACGTCGTATTATATAGAAGGCTATGCACACTTAGTTTGTAATGCTTATTCGAATATTTTAAACACCACGAGATAATTTTAATGAATAACATAAACTGTCAATACGGATTAGAATAACGAGCGAAGAAGTAAAAATTCAGTAGAAGAATAAAAGTAACTACAACAACAAGTATAACTGTAAAGATGATAGCGACGAGCAGGTCTAATGAGTCGTAGGTAAAAACTATTTTTAAAGATATTTCGCTTGATGTGTGCACACATCAAAGTGAAGTCACTTAAATTTTGAAAAAATTTTGGTAAAAGAAATTTTTTCGAATTTGAAAACTTTTTCGTTTTTTAAAAAGATTTGCGAAAGAAAAAGTCTAAACATTCTATTATCTGTTGATTCTTCTTATAATACACGAAGAAACTCTTTTGTCTTTTTGTATCTCTCTTAGTTAGTGGTGTACGTAAACAAACATAGCTATATGCATAAATAATATGTAGGTATATCTTATACACGTTATCAGTAATTATTACTTTTTGTTTTTTTCATATATATGTTCTTGTTGTTTTTACTACGAGTTAATTTTCAAGTTCTTAACATACCATACATGAGAATTTTGTGCGCATTGCATACTTCCCCTTTCGCAAATAATTTCTATACATTGATAATAGTGAACTTAACAGAATTGAATTTTAAAACTTATACTCACCGCGCCAAAATATTTCATCTCTTTGCTTTTCATGCGGCGATGGTGCGATGTTGTTGGCACTGTTGACGCTGCAGCAGCACTCGGTGATTCGTAGCTAGCGGCAGCCAAGCCATTCAAGGCAGCAGCAGCGGCAACTGCTGCCGCATTGTGGTGACCATTCGTTGTGATGCTGCTATTGTGCGGTGTGCTGCCACAATTGCTGTTACTGCTACCACAATTATTTATTATTGCAATGCCACCGCTACTACTACTACTGCTTCCAACACTTACGCCATGTGCATTGTTTGAACCACTTATTGAGCCTACCGAACTGCCACCGCCGGCTTCCATAAAATCGAATCTTTTAAAAGCATACCATTTAGAGGGATTCGGTTGTATGCCCTGATATAATTTGACTAACATTTTATGTTTTTCCCGACGATACTGTGTCAACAGTACGTTCATTTTGCGTTCGACCTCAGCCTTGCTGCAGCCGAAACGTTCAGCTATTTCCGACCATGCGCGAAAGCGACACAATTTATCTTTGTACTTGGGATCAGCACGATTCCACAGTTCTGTATGCGAGCGATACTGTTCGATTAATTCGAGAGCATCATCGTTGGTCCATTCCATGATTTTTGCATGCATCAGATTACTGCGTAAAATGGCCGGATTGAAATTCATTGAATATTTATAATAATAATCGAACGCGCGAATAGGCGAATAGGTGGACACATAAACATGAATATAAATGGATGAGGGAATTCCGTTTACTTTTCCGATATGAATTAAACGATATGCTGATTATAAATTTATTTATCGCTATGTGACTTTATTTTTATTTTGATTCTCTTTTTTTTTTTCTTAGCTTTTATTTTTTTCTTTTCCGATACAAGTCTTTCTCTGTCTTTATATATATATATATATATGTATATATATATATATCTATATGTATGTATATATATATATATATATATATATATGCAATTGTAAAAGGTAATTTTGGTAAAATTGGTTAAATTTGGTATCAAGGAATGTTTTCAGAAATGCTGAATATTCTCATTAATGCCTGCAGCATATTGTTGATTTTACAGGTAGATGTCTTTTTGTTGGTGGATTTTTGGTTTTTATAAAGGAACTAATCATTGAATAAATCTGCTGTTCTTTTGTTCTCTATTGCATATAATTAAAAACAAATTTTTGCTTTTTATTTTCTTTCGTGTTGCAATTCTTCTTCTCATTCACTTTTATTTCTGTAAACGAATTTAATTTGTAAATTGATTTTCAACGAGAAAGTGTTAATACTGTGGTTAAACATGATGGGTACAGATATATGCACGTTTCGAATATCTTTAATATCTGACAGAAGTTTCATGTCATTCATGCTTGTGAGTTTGTAAGTTGACGTGTATTCCCTTTGGTGTTGCCTTCAAAGCAGCCAAAATATTCGATTTGAAGGTAAACCGATTTAAAATAGTTATCGCGAAGCGGTTTTATTTTAATTGTGGAAACGAAAATATTCACTCGCAGCCATGTCATATACATACACTCTTAAGGTCCAATTTTTTTGGGAAGAATAATTGAAGAATTATTCCGTTATTTCGGAATAAAATGTTAAGATAAAGAGAACAAGTGCAAAATGTTTTTTGGAATCGATGAATTATTCCAATCATATCTGCAATATCTCGAATATCTAGAAAATCCTCGATTTGTTTGATATTAATGATCTTAACTTCTTCAGTACACTTTTTCCCCGTCCTCAATGCACCTACACCAGCAATTCTATTTTTATGCCATACGCCACTTGTCGTGCAAGGGTATATAAAGTATGTGCGGTTGTTTGTAGCAGCCGGACTGACTTGAAATATATCCAAATTTTACTACACCAGTCGATGCATTATCCTGAATCGCTAAGTTCGTCTGTCCGTCTTGCGTTATTGTGTTTAATCTTTAATGAATTCTATAAGAAGACAAGCTTTCGAATTACTTTCTTGACCACTTCCGTCCACGTCTTATTTTGAAAAGTCGTTATATAGAAAACTGTAAGGTGCTGTAGGGCATTTAATGTTGCGCTATGGTAAACTGCAGTATATTTGCTTTACATATTCTTTGCTCAATAATTTGATTCATTTTTAAAACTTTGCTGAGTGGAATTTACAATTATTACAAAAAAAGCCCTAACACATTTCCACCCGATTGACAGACAGCATCTATCATCAGTTAACAATGAAGAAAAAAAAAAAATGTTTTGCTTTTATTGGTATTCAAAGCATTGGTATTCTTTTTTAAATAAAAAAATCTCTCTTTCTTTTTCAACATATACTTTATATGCACTAATAGTTTACGCAATTATGGGAATGGTAGATTACTTTAAATTATACGTTACAGGTGAAGTTTTCAAGTTCATAAATAACAGACCGGATTTGAAGTTTTAGTGTGAGGATTGCCTTATGATCTAAGAAGTACTGCAATAATGGCTTCGAATTGCTTCAACAATGATATAATATGATCTTTATTCTCATTAGAGATTGGCAATAACTTTCCCAGAATCTGAAGCACAATCGTCAAAAAAAACTAATCGTGAATTTTCCAAGGATAACTTTCCAGGGATAGCTATTAAAGTGTCATTTGATCAATTTATTCCTGCCGGCCTGTTACGAAGAATATATGAGATGCGAAAATGAGTGTAGAAAGCTATATCTCGCCATTTATATTGCTACGGAATGTAAGGGATCAAAATAAATAAAGTTATTGATGAAGAGAAATACGAAATATTCACTTTATCGCGTCTCTTATAACATTTGGGAGTTTTTTCGCATAAAAATGCTTAAATATATTTATTTAGGTTGCATTAATTAGCATTTCTCCTAAACATCTAACCATCGCAGTCGCAATTGTTCATTGGCTACACCGGTTAAGAACAAATGCTGCAAGTGTTTCTGTTTTGATTTTTGTATCTTCGACAAATGAAAGATGGACCTACGGACAGACGTTTGCAAAATTCACTTAAAATATTATGACGATCAGAAATACATAACTCATTATCAAGTGCATTACACGTGAAAAACTCAGCGAGTACGTTTCTCCTTTTATTCATGGTTTTTTGAATTTTTGTTTTTGCTATGATTACTTAAAATTTACTTTGTCGGTCGCTATAAATATCTTTCATTTGCAAGCGTCAAATTTGTTGATCGAACTTCTACAATTTTCTAAGCCAAGGAGAAGCATTTTTCTATTAACACCACGCATATCTAACTTTTTGACCGAACGTTGTATTATCCGTGCAACACAATACTGGAATCCATTGCCGTTAACTTTGAAATACTTTGATGACTCTTTAAATGCTTTTAGGAGTAGGAGAAAGAAAGTGCTATTGACAAGTGCAATGGTTAAGTGCAGAGAATGGTGGAAAATATGGGGATTTTATGCGAGGATCGTTTGCAATAAATCTGTTATATGCCTTTAAATTAAAAAGATAGGAGTAGGAATCGTTAGCGAAAACATCGAAGAAGTTCCATGGTTGCGAGGATGCTTACGGGAAAAATCCTATGAAAATCGTTTATTAAAACGACAAATAATTTTCTCACCTATATAAGTTTATGGCTTATAATAAATAGAAATAAAAAGTGAACATTAAGAAACTGTTTCTATAAAGCGTATATTTTCGAGTTATATCGGAACTCTCGGTAATCGTTATTTGATCATTTTTGATTGATTTGCAAATTTATTTTCATTTTACATGTCATTTACGTTGATAACGGCATTTAATAAAGCATATGGTAACTTCACTGTTAACCAGTTTATTTTATATAGTTATAATATAACATGATATCAACACTGTTACTTCACACATATATTTTGCCTATGTAAATTTAATACCGAAAAATCTCGTAGGCACAATAACATAATGTAATGTCACATAATCTGCTCTAAGGATATTCTATATATCGGATCGATTATAAGCTTAACTTATGCTAAAGAATATTAGACCAAGTTGAACGTAGCAATTATGATTCCGGTAGATAAGCAATTTCTTTAACCGTACGAGATGAGAACATGTATATGGAATTTTTAAAGCAATCCGTCCGTATTTTCGCGCATTCACACTGATAAGAGAGAGCGGAATTATTTTATTAAGCAGCACAATTGTAACTTTATATTAATAGATATGTTTAGTTAAAAAGGAAATCTACCATTAAGTGGTTTACATATACGAATATATATATATATATAAAATATTTCTCTCCTTGCAGCAATTTCGTACGAAATACAAATATGTCACAGCTTTATTCGCTCTCAAGCTACATGGCTCGTATACACCTGCCATAATAATGCACTTATGCTTATGCACTTACACAATCACACAATTGTTGTACATATTTGCGCGTGCGCATAATGGTAATAAGCAAACACCTGAAGATTTGTGAGGGGGAAAAAAGCAACCATTAATATCTTATCAACAGACTGACATTAAGTAAAGCCAAATTAATTTAAAAGAATTTCTTCCAATTTCGATATAATTACAAATTTGAGAGGTTTCTCCTTTCAAGACAACACAAAAGTATACATAAATGTGTTTATGCTATGTTTAGTATGGTTCTCTTCTCTCCTCATGGATTTGTTTGACGACAACTTATTTTATTATTATTATTATTATAAACTTAGCCAGAGAATAAATTCTAAGACTAAAGTCTTAAAGCACTAGCATCTAGGGCTATCGGCTTTTATTAAAAACTCTACCGCACTTGAGATTTGAACCCACGACCATTGAGTTGATAGTCGAGACTCTTGCCTACTCGGCCACTCAGGCGGATATTGACGACAACTTATGTTTGCAAAAGCCTTAAAAAAACTTATCTGTCGTGATTTCAAGACTGTAGGCAGCGTAAGAACTACGAATTAAAATGGGATAACAGTCTTATGTCATTCAACTTGTTGGTTTAAAACTTAGAATGTTTTTCGAATATTTGGCTAAAGCCAAGATCAACGTCAATAAAAGTTAAAACATTTCATTCAAAAGCAGTTCCTTAATAAGAAAGAGTCGAACAGTTAGCACTGAGTATTATCTAGGCCTTCAATGTCATTTGTGCAACTCAATTCCTGAAACAGTCCAAATTTTTGGCAAAATACCTCTTCATTTTTAACAAACGTTAATGCGTTTCTATGCGTTGCCATAATGCTTCAAGTCTGACTAATAAAATTATTACACGAGCAAGCCATCTATTCACCTATGCTATGTTGCTTTTGTGTGATTATTTTTTCTACAACATTTCGGGTCCATTGTAGTAATCGTTTAGGTCAAAGGACGGCGTTAAGCAAAGCTGCCATTCTTTAAAAGGCACTTTCATTTATTAACAAATGATAAGAAACTTCTATCAGTTGTTAATTACACAGTTACAAACCCAACAAAAACGTTTACATTGCTTTTTAAAGCGCACCTGTATTTAAAACAAAAAAATTCCATTTTTGAACAAAGTGGTACGTATTTGTGTTGAAACTATAGAAGGAAATTTTAATACCAAATGATTTAGGTAAAATAATTTTATCAATTGCCTTTTAAAATGCAAAAATTTATATTAAATAACAAAACAACCTAAAACTTAATATTCGGGCAAGGTAGTTCATTAGTTACTCTACGCGATTTCGCCATGGTGTTAAGAGTGTCTGTAAAAATCTAGTGTTCCGATCTAGTCCATTTCCAAAAAGGTTTGACTTTGGGCCAAAACATAACATTGTATCAAAATGTCACGAAAATTGCTCTCTATAGGCTTAGATGAGTAAAAAGACATCAAATAGATAGATAGACAGACAGACAGACTGTCACACCAGACTAACTTCACATTATAACAAGACGTAAGTCTATCTCTAGATCTGGTTGTT